GTTTGCAGTCAGGGTGGGTATTTTTAGTGTGACCCGGAGCCAATTCACTAGATCCGAGAATTTGTAGCTGGTCAAATTGACGTCGGCGCGACTGTTGCTCAGAGATTGAGCTGTGCCCGTGCTTAAGCTCTTGATCAAGGTTTCAATGAAGGATCCGATAGACTTGATGAGTGAAACGGTGTTGGAACTTTTGTCGTTGACATCGGTTGTGGATGCTGTGCCAGTGGCAGTGCGCAGTTGGTACTTAGTCGTTCCGCTGTCACTCTGCACTGAGTTGCCTCCAATGTACGAGTTCAGCACGTACGTGTCAAACTCTGTATCAGTCATTGCTGAAAATGGTGTCATGATGGAGAAGTTTGCATTTGGGTTGGCAGCCTGGACAGCAGAAATGCTCTGCTTGGTCAAGAAAATGCGTTGGCGAAGATCTTCTTCTTGATCATCTGCGCTGCGGTCTTTCGAAACTGGCCACCAACCGTTCTTTTGCGCAACCTCACCGTACTTGCTCCTCCATTCATCCAGATCGGCTTGGGTGGTGTCAATGGCTTCGAGGTATTTTTGGTAGTCGATGCCAGCGTGCAACGGGTGAGCAGTAGCAGGCGATGTCGTCGAGATCCAGATCATCATCGTGCCGGCCGCAAATGCCCAGCAATAGCCTGAAGTGTGCATTGTTATGCTGTAAAGTTGGTAACAGTAACGTGTCGTTGCAATGAGCTCGAGTTGAGTGGTAGACGAGATACGAGTGTGGGTGGCGTCACTGCTGCTGCTGAACTTGTTGATATGAAGGCGAATTCAAGAATGTGTATCTGGAAACAACCATCTTTTTCACGGCTGTACTTGCCGGGTCTATCGACTTGCAAAGCTATATTGTCCTTGTATATGAATCAATGTGTGCTGTAACGGCGTGATCGGCCAACATATCCACTAAAGCCATTTCTAGATCGTTTCAGTTCTTCCCAGACAGTAAAACGAACTGTGGTCCATTTTACTCGCCAGTGTAGCAATGTTCATTTTGGTGACATGTTGTGAATGTTCCAGTTGTAGTAGCCGGCAGACATCACCCTGCTATGTAGTGGTACAACAGTATGTCCGTCTTCAGATCATTGTCTCTTGTGAGTGGAAGCGACAGTATTCAACACTACCGCCTTTTCCTTTCAGTGCTTGTCTTTCTGTCACAATATCGCCAAACATGGTCGATATAAGTTGTCTGCGACTCGTTTTCTGATTCAATCGGTCAAGTAACACCTTCTTATTTCTTTTTTGGTCTTGTCGGACGCTTTCAACACTGACCAGAACTCTAAAAAAATCGTGGTGATTGAGAATGATACAGCTACAAATAATTCCTTAGTTGTAATTTACCTTGCTAACCATTTGTTCATAGCACAGTTTAATAATGACAAGTATTCGTACAAAGTGTTTTCCAGACGTAAAATCCATGACAAACTCATGAGGTGGGATTTAGGACGAGGCTGGCTACGTCTAAATGAGGTACACTTCATCAAGCTTGTGTTCTTGTGGTTTGGTCGTAGCGTGCCTAAAATTGAAACGAAGCATTTAATGCATCCTACGTATTAGTAAGTAAGTGGTAGCAATCGATGCCATGAATTTCAAGTCCGTAGTAGCTGTTTCATTCTTTGTCCTTAAGAAGTTGTTCGGAGTAGTAGAAGATTTGGTGTATAAAGCTTCGACAATGGCCTGGTCAGTGTTAAAAGCGTCCGACAAGACTAAAAAAGAAATAAGAAGGTGTTACTTGACCGATTGAATCAGAAAACGAGTCGCAGACAACTTATATCGACCATGTTTGGCGATATTGTGACAGAAAGACAAGCACTGAAAGGAAAAGGCGGTAGTGTTGAATACTGTCGCTTCCACTCACAAGAGACAATGATCTGAAGACGGACATACTGTTGTACCACTACATAGCAGGGTGATGTCTGCCGGCTACTACAACTGGAACATTCACAACATGTCACCAAAATGAACATTGCTACACTGGCGAGTAAAATGGACCACAGTTCGTTTTACTGTCTGGGAAGAACTGAAACGATCTAGAAATGGCTTTAGTGGATATGTTGGCCGATCACGCCGTTACAGCACACATTGATTCATATACAAGGACAATATAGCTTTGCAAGTCGATAGACCCGGCAAGTACAGCCGTGAAAAAGATGGTTGTTTCCAGATACACATTCTTGAATTCGCCTTCATATCAACAAGTTCAGCAGCAGCAGTGACGCCACCCACACTCGTATCTCGTCTACCACTCAACTCGAGCTCATTGCAACGACACGTTACTGTTACCAACTTTACAGCATAACAATGCACACTTCAGGCTATTGCTGGGCATTTGCGGCCGGCACGATGATGATCTGGATCTCGACGACATCGCCTGCTACTGCTCACCCGTTGCACGCTGGCATCGACTACCAAAAATACCTCGAAGCCATTGACACCACCCAAGCCGATCTGGATGAATGGAGGAGCAAGTACGGTGAGGTTGCGCAAAAGAACGGTTGGTGGCCAGTTTCGAAAGACCGCAGCGCAGATGATCAAGAAGAAGATCTTCGCCAACGCATTTTCTTGACCAAGCAGAGCATTTCTGCTGTCCAGGCTGCCAACCCAAATGCAAACTTCTCCATCATGACACCATTTTCAGCAATGACTGATACAGAGTTTGACACGTACGTGCTGAACTCGTACATTGGAGGCAACTCAGTGCAGAGTGACAGCGGAACGACTAAGTACCAACTGCGCACTGCCACTGGCACAGCATCCACAACCGATGTCAACGACAAAAGTTCCAACACCGTTTCACTCATCAAGTCTATCGGATCCTTCATTGAAACCTTGATCAAGAGCTTAAGCACGGGCACAGCTCAATCTCTGAGCAACAGTCGCGCCGACGTCAATTTGACCAGCTACAAATTCTCGGATCTAGTGAATTGGCTCCGGGTCACACTAAAAATACCCACCCTGACTGCAAACACACCAGTCACCGACGCATCGTCTTCGTCGGAGACGACACTGAACAGCTCTGCTTCGGTGGACTGGTCTACGTCTGAGTGCATGGCCCCGATTCAAAATCAAGGATCTTGCGGTTCTTGTTGGGCATTTGCTACGGTGTCAGCCGTCGAGTCTGCGCAGTGCATTGCAAATGGTAAGTCGTCTCTTACTGAATACTCAGTGCAGCAGTTAGTTAGCTGTGATACCCGGAACTGGGGTTGTGATGGAGGTATTCTCGCGTACGCTTTTGATTTCATACTGCAGAATGGTCTTTGTACTGAAGACAGCTATCCATACACGTCAAGCAGAGGCGTTGAGAACTCTTGCAGTTCAAGCTGTACTTCACAGGACACTGGCATTACAGGGTACTCGCAGCTGTCGGGTGAGGCTGAACTGCTGAGTGCAATCGACGAGCATCCAGTCGTCGTGGCGGTGGCTGCGGGAAATATCGTTTGGAAGCAGTACACGGGTGGATTGGTGTCATCATGTAGTTCCACGCAGCTTGACCACGCTGTTGTTGCGGTAGGCTATGATTCTTCATCGATCAAAATTCGCAACTCGTGGGGAACCAATTGGGGTGAAGATGGATACATGCGTCTCGCGCGCAGCTCGTCTGGTGACGGAACATGCGGTATGATGTTAGACATGTCGACTCCGCAGATGTAAGAAGATTGTAAAGCTTGCGTGCAATTTGGACATCTAATAATATATAGAACCGGCACGCTCAAAGCATAAGGACGAACATAGCGTTCATTGAAGTACACGCCTTTTCGTGGCAAGCAACGCATTCCTTCTTCTTGTGTCATTTTTGCCCACGTGTTTTTGACATTGCTGTCCTTTACGACGCAAGTGAGTTACCTGCTGCATCAATGCAATCACAGCTATCCTTCCTTCGACTGTCGTCGCGTTTGCTTTTCCGAATCACCAGCTTCCACGCTAAGGGGGAGGTACCATTCCTCCAACATTCCAGCTTTTGCTCGCGCCTCTTTGTTGACAGGTGGCTTCAGCCTGCCCTTGTAGTAATGTGGTATGATCTCGTGGAACCTTGCAATAGGGTCAGCGCCATCCAGTTTGCAGACGAATCGAAACCAGCGCGCGCCAGCTTCCACATGTGTGGTCTCCTCACGGTAGTTTTTGACGATGATTTCCAGACTTGCTTTATCGTTGGCTTTCTCGAATCTCTGGACAGCGTTCGAGAATACATCAAGTTCTCAGGCCTCATGAACAAGATGCACAACTGCCAGACGTGCCAAAATGTTCTTGCGGGTTTCATACGCTGCATCCCAGAGACCTTCATGGCCCGTGAGGTCACCGTATAAGCTACCGAGCTGCGTGAGATAGACGTGCCCAACTATTGAAGTGATCTGCTTCCTCACCTGCGATACGAACCCAGTCGTCGTAGAATGCACGGGGTAGGTGTGCGGCACAAATCGACAAACCATGTCCCACATAAGATCAATTGCGTAGCTTTCAGCGTGCGCTAGGCTGTTAAACATAGTGTACATGTCATGACAAACACAGTGAAGGGTTAGTGTTGGTAATAGCCTCGCAATACAATATGCAATCGATGCAATAATGTGAGATACATTGCAAACCTGATGCAAGTCTGTATTGTCATTCACCTGTGCACGAAAGCTTTACGGGATCCCTGCTTGGTCTTGTAAGCTGGAACAACCTTCACATTCTCCGGTCGTGCCAGGTGGTCGGGTCGTCGTCTTCATTGTAGACCACATTGATCGCATCACTGTTCCATTGCACCACGTACTCATTGGTCTTCTCAGCCTACGCAAAGGCACAGCCGTTGTCGGCATGTCCAGCGCGCATGCAAACAGCGTCAGAATCTGGCCATCACGAACTAACATGGACCAATCACGTCTCTCTACACGACTTGCGTTTTTGTTGCGTCACCTAAATGGCTGTACCATGCAAGCACAAGAACCCAAAGCTCTTGTTAAGTACAACACAGCGCAAGACGCCAATGAAAGAGATATACCTTCGAATCACAACGGCCGTTCAAACCCAAACGACTTCGGGTACAAGTCTTGATACCACTGGTTGATCGAAAAATTGTCGTTTACACTGAAGTCAAATATACTCTGACCTGCTGGTGGGGGGCCCGACAATACACTACATGTAGACAAACCCTGCAATTGTTCAGAATATGCTTCAAACCCGCGGTCGTATCCCCACGAACGACCAGTTGGTAGACTTAATGACCGCTGTGATGATCGTAGCACCGATTGCTCTGCCACTGAAAGATACTTTAAGTATCGGGACTTCACTTCCTTCAATGAGCAGCCAGAGCTGCCATTTAGTAGCAATGATCTTTCACGGTAAGAAACGCCTGGAACATAAGCCACAATATGCGTCAGAAAGCTTCATCGTAAAACTGAAAGGCTGCATTTACCTGTAGGGGCCATCCATCCATAGCTAGGACGTTCCATTCTGTTAATGGCAGCTTGCACTTGTGGAGAGCGCAGCAATTCGGCTTTGATCGCATTCAGTTCTGCAGCTATGGTCAGGTACATGCAAGAATAAGTCAGGCATCTTACAACTTGGCGCAGAAGATATTGCACCAGCAACACACGAGTGGTAGCAGCACTAAGGTTCTGGCCCTGCTTCCTTGAGACTACATCATCCAGCGCCAGCTCCAGCCCTCGGGCAGCAATCTTAGACTGTGATAATCTTTTTGCGAACGTCGGCACTTCTGCAACATCTATACTATCATGACGGCTACTTCCAAGTGGCAAATTCTCGCGGACAACACCTTGGGTTTTGCCAACGGAACAAGGCATGAGTGAGGACACCTGACTATCACCTCTCAATTTTGCTGAATGGACACGCAGTAAACAATTTACAAGAAAAAACAAACGCATGAGAAAGCAAATACTTCGAGCAAGATGAGACCTCAACGATCAGCAGGGGTCTAGTAAAGTCAATCATCGACTTACGCAAGGCAGCGCATTTTGTTCGAAGCTCTTCAGCTTTTACAGCCTTATCAGCGAGCTCATTTAGCTTCCTCTCCAGCGCAGCTTCAACTTTACGCAACTTCTCATCAGCTTGCAAAGTAGCTATGGTCAATCGAGCAAGACTCTTCATTGGTCTTGTAATTTCGTCGCCATATTCCGAATCACACGACAATACGCTTCTCATAGCCGCATCTGGCTGCTGCCCATCGTGATCAGAAGCAGGCAACACTTTACTCAATACACCTGAAAAGGTCCCACAAAAGATAAGACTGCTGGCGCTTACAGTGGATAAAGGGCAACATAGTATCAACAGAACGTTACCTTTCTGCACACGTAGTCGCGGTTGAGGAGCATCACAGGAATGAGAGGGAGGCACGGTGTGCTCTTTGTCCCGTGGCTTCGATCTAGCAATAACGCGAGCGTAGTGGGGGGATGTATGGCGGCAACTTTGATGTCGATCTAATCGTTTTGCTGAGTTTCTTTGGAGTTTTGCCGTATCTTCGCGGCTCAATCAGGAGCTCTTCAGTGTCGATGCTTAATTTTGATTTTTTTTCATCTCGATGTTCTTCTCGACACTCGCTACCGACAAAGTCCAGATAGTGAGGCGCATTCGTGCAGTTTACTTGTGATTGTTTACCAGGTGATGTGGCCGTTTCAGTTCTGGCAAAAATGATGCTTTCCAACGTGTTATCTTCTACTCTCTTTTTCGGATTCTTGGGTACCGTTCCTGCATTTAACAAGAAACTGTGCACTCCTTCATTCGGTGATATATCGCGTGCTCTTGTTGCATCTACATCAGTCTTATCGATGGAGTTCAAAAGCCCAACGTTATACTCGTTGTTAGATTCACTGTCTTCTGTGATTGATAGTGTATATGCATGCGTTGCTGCATGGTGAACCCTGTTATTAGCAAAACTGCGCATCCAAATTTCTTCCCCCAATTCTTTCCTCAATTCTTCCGTTGGCATCGTAAAGTGGTGTTCAAACTTTACAGGCAAAGTCCCCTCGACAAACTCTGGAAAGTCTTCTCCTGCGTCACACTTGGCCAATAAAGTCATTGCACACGCCAAACTCTTAGACCGTGCTTCAGTCGTCATTCCTTTTTTTCGTTTCGTTTTTGACTTTGAATGACGTAGAATCTTTGTTTTATTCGACTGAAAAGCCAAAATACTACTTTTTTTCACCCAGCATCTACAACATAATTTTTAAAAATCAAAAATTAATTCAAAAATTCAGAAAAACAAGTTCAAAAAATAGAAAATAATTTCAAAAATATCAAAACAATAGCCACCATACCTTGAGCGTTCTGTAAACTCTGGTCGATCTAAGAAATCAACCAGGAGCCTTTCCTCAAGTTTTAGGTTATATATACCCAATGCAGAGCCTGGAGCGCGCACTGTGGTCAATGCTGGCCACCAGGGCCATGTTGCTAGCTTGACCCAACACTTTACAGCCCACGTGTGCGTATGATAAGGAGCAATACGATCGCTATCTCGTCGTAGAACCTCATTATACTCATCTCCCCAGCAGTCATAAGTAACTTCAACTGTTTCTAGAGTCGGTAGGTGTAATACTTGCGCTACATTCCAAATCCCATCATCATCTACAACATCTAATAGATACAATAGTAGAGACAGACAGATAGACAATCGAGTATAGAGTAAGAAGAAATAAATAAACTTGATATTTGTATGGAAGAAACTCTAATGTCACCATCATTTCGTTACCTATCCAATCCCCCACTTGTAGTGCGGACACTTGCGCATTCATTCTTCTTCTTGACTAATTGATTTTTATACTTGAATTTTGTGAGTGAAAATGATTGCCGCCTCAAAACGGTATGAAAGTTATGTCATACTAAGTACGAGTTATATACTTTTTTTCCAGTTTTTCGTACCTACAAATGTAGCCATGTAGATTGCTATGGTTTTTTGGAATACTAGATAAGCGATATCGTTCTTGTTGTAAAAGAACAGAAATGCAGTCAAGATGACGCACTAGACTTTTGCAGATCTTGCTGCCTAGCAAGACAATTATCTGGTGGCTGGTAGTGGTAAACAAAATTAGCTGCTCGGCATTGTCGATTCAAGAAATTAAGAGTATGCGATTGCTATAGTTTGTTTGGTACCAAATTTGAGTATATCTATCTATCCACGACTGAATATAGAGTTTTGAGCAATGTGTACATGAGCAATCAGAATGATTAACAAGTAGGACGACAATGCTGCGTAGACGCTCCGAAACTGGACCAAGAAATAGCTTTGAAGGCAGAGTGCAACCAGGTGTCGCTGCCAGCTGCCGTATGCAAAACAGAGAAAATTTTGTAAAATGTTCTCTGTACCGGATCAAATCATGCGTAAGGAGCGGATGCGTCAGTGTAGATGTCTTTAAGCATCGTGAACGAGCTCTGTCTAAGCTCGTGCTGCAAGTCTCGAGACAGATTGTGCTCGTGGAAAGCAGCAACGAGGGAGAGGAGGTATTATGCGGGGCAAAGCAGTGTTTGATCATAAATAGTTCGAGTACACTTGATCGCAGACGTGGTCCTAGTGGATAGCAACTTAGAGTGCCACTGCTATATGTCGTCCGACAATGGCACATACCCATCTTGTTTACATTCTTCAAGCAAGTTGCGTATTCACAATGTTGATCATGTTGTTTGTGCAAGCTGCATCCAGCTTTAGTTCAGAATGCATGAGGCTTAGTACCACCTCACGTGCGCTAAATAGATGCAAATTCCGTTTGATGTGCTTCCTGCGTGGTCACAAGCTGAACGTTTTGGTAGCTCTTAATCAAGCAATGTGATGACGACATGTCGTCGACACCATGCCTTTTGAAGAGCTCGGTCGTTCTAGCGATCACACATCATCACCTTCTATATCTCAAAATATACTACATCACATCGTCATTCCTGACGGCTACAGATTTGAAATGGAATACGACACCATCTTCTTTCATAACTGTTACGTGTTACGTTGTGGAGTGTATGACAGATTCCGTGTGCCCAATTTTATGGGCAGCTTTTGTTCGCACCATCCACATATACCTCTCTCCAAATCTTTGGTCACAGTGATCAGAGATTGCAAGAAAGCTAACGACAGGAGCTAATTCACCTGCAGACGCTTTGTCTTGGAAGGTGAGTTCCTATAGAATGGTCTTAGTACACATGAATCGACGTAGCAACACTAATTCAAAGGCGGTGAACTTTTACAAATTCACATCTAATCCTATTTATTGTATGGTCTAATATTTTCATCTTCTGTTTGTTGTGCATCAATGCACTCAAAACAACAATCCACCTGCTTCGTGCTATCCATCACCAGGAAAAGAGCCCTACCATCAACCACTTTGTAGTGTCGATGAATCTTGGATATCGATTCTGATATCATGACCTTTTGATGATCTTGAACCAGGCGTTTGTGTTGCTATATTGTATGTTCCAGCTATCTCGATAAAACGACGCGCGACAAGCTGCCAACATGGGAGCGAGCTGCCACTGGAATGTGATTCAATGTAGCGAAGGAGCAAAGATTTCTGAAACGATATATTCTTGACCCTATCCTGTTGTCTGGAACAATTGAAGCTTTGGATGAAACAATGTTAAGCGCGCTTTATTGAGACAAGGTTTGCGTTCATACTTGATTGCAGTTTATGGAGACATTTGAAATAACGAAATGTTCTGCACGGTATAAAGATGAAAGAAAATTGATGTTGCCCGTAAGGCTCTGAATAGCTCCAAAAAAGACATGAGACCTTCGTTCACATCGCCCGTAGTCAATACATCCCAATTTTGGACAAGCTGTCTTGTACTTGACAAAGCTTTCTTGTACTTGACAAAGCTTTCTTGTACTTGACAAAGCTTTCTTATACCAGAATATGCAAGTTACTTGCATCGTCAGCTTCCACAGACCATGTCCTACCCCGTGCACTATCACGTCTTGAGCAAGCTATCGTTGGTGAAGCTGCTGTTGTATCAATCGCTCACGTTAACTTTTGTACGAGTCTGATCTTTTGTCTGAGCTGTTCAATTATTCAGCTTATACTACATGTCACTAAAGACATACTCCTGCCTCTAACACGTAAAACGCGACAATTGCAAGAAACGTACTGAGACATCTATGTGCAAAACCCTTGTCCTACGTGCAAGGACGTCAGCAAATTTATACTTCTGTTCACGATTCACTTTTGCATTCAACTGACAAGTCAGGCCATCATCAATCAGCAATCAATTATGCGTGCTTGGCACGTTGTAAGGCCTTGCAAATGTCTTGTGCAATTCTTTGACGCAATGCATGGGAGTCGCTGCAGGAAAAAGACATTTGGTGCAGAAAAGTACTTGTCCATGCATCATTTGCTATTGCCTACCTCTTCAGCTGTGACAGTGGGAGGGCAAGTCGGCTCGTGTGAGACAGCTTACGCTTCGTTACAGTTTGCCCTATTTTACACGTGGAAACTATAGTAAACATTCCATCAAAATGTGCTGCGGCCGCCGTCAAATTTGTGTGTCGCCATCGGCCATAAGAGGTAATCTGTTTGTACGATGATTTAAACGCGGACAACATGCCGTTTTCTGTCCTATGTACAAATGTAAGTTGTCACTGCGCCACCGAGATTGACCGTAAGCTTTGTGTTCTACACGCAAACAACATTGGATGATTACTCGCTGCATCGAAGCAAAAGTTGAGAATAGGTATGTTCGAATGACACTGTGACATAGTAGCAGCACGTAGAACTTCGGTATAAGCGCTATGTTCTGGACGTTCAGTCTTTTTTTTTGTCAAGTATTGATCCGTGAGCTAAAACAACAAAAGGCCGTGGAGACGCCAGGATTATGATATGTTGTCTCGTCGTTGGGCTGGACGCTGCTGCCATTAAAGCTTGTACTACGTCTGTTAAAATATTGGAGGACGAGAGACACGCGGCAAGGATGACGGGGTATACAAACTCTAAAGCATTCCATCCGACCAGAACGACCGACCTTTGCTTGCAACAGCATCTTTCTGTAACGTCAAATGAAGAAAAGCATGAAAGTACTGGCGAAGACTAAAATAGTGCAAGTTCCACTATATCATGTTTTCCGACCGACCTAGCTAAAGCGCCAGGATAAACATACTAATTACAAGATACAAAGCATGCTCGAGCACGACCGGCCTTCCGCTTACAAATGATTGCATGGGTATAGATTAACCATTTTTTGAGGAACGGACAGTGTCGCCAGTCAGCAGCAGCCGTCAGCCACCCGCTATATAATGTGCTTGCATAATGTCTTTTTCGTAAGCAAGAAAGATTGGAAACCTGCAGCTGTCACTTTCTGACACAGAACCTTTTTGCTGTAACAGTGAACATTGCATCGTCCCGCTTTCACCACCACTCTCACCCAATCAGTAGCAGCCGTTGACGAAACGCCGCTTCAGTCATAACACAATCTGCCGCCGCCTTCAACAAACAAACACACACACCAGGATCTTTGAACCATGAACTACGGAAGTAATACACTATTTGAGTCTGAATGGGCTGCCTTTGCATTACCAGCAAGCTTGGACCGTCCTCCACCTCGATTTGACTTTGCTGACTTTGAAACACGTCGGCTCCATGCGAGTCTTGACGCGCTAGACGTGCTTGGACCTGTACTGGCTAGTAACGCAGCTGTCATGTTGTTTACTGATCCGACTGAGTGTGCACCTACTACTAGCTCTTGCATGGCTACGCTACAAGATAGAACTACCTTTCATGATACGGACAATAGTACATCGTCTTCTTCTCAAGCACATAAATGCCATTTGAAGAAGCGGTCACGCAGACAAGTTCATGAGCTCCAAGCCATGGTCAATGTTATGCAAGCACAAGTAAATGGCGCTGCCGCTGAGACGCAACAGCTTGCGCAACTTGTAGAACAATTTACTCAACAACGAGCACAGGAAAGAAGACGTGCAGCTGAGGAACATCAACCGTTGTTTGAAGAACATGAGATGGACATGGACCTTGGAACTCAGCAGCGACGCCTCCAGGCGCAAGTGAAGCAGGAACGTGAACAATTCGTGTGCGAGCAACAGCTGCAACAACAACACCAACAACAACAGCAGCAGCAGTGGCACCAAGAGTGCTCTGGGAGCCAGTTGTCCCCTTCGCCAATTAAGTTTTAAACCAAGGTAATCAACTGACCATCCACTGCTGTCCAGCGTTTCTGTCATCTACTGTCGTCGTCCCATGAGCGTGACTCAAGTGCTGATGCTGCGCGTGTTGCAGCAAGCCCAATTATGACGGTTTTATTATTTAGCAGGCTATACGAAAGCAAGTATTGCGAACACCTTTGAAGTTTTAAGCTTTAACACTGTTATACTGCTCACGCTAGCATTGTATCTTGAATCGTGCATGTACTGTCCATAGTGCCCTTAGTTCATGTTTATTAATGGCTTGAAGCCGATCAATATGTACAGCAGCAAGTTTCCTTCCGGCCAAATATAGTTCTTCCAACACACTGCTTCAATGCCAGTCTATTTAAAACAACGGCATTTTTATCTAGCAATAAATCGAAACCAGCGGCATGCACCAACTGTATTGAGTACGTAGATCAGTATCTCTGTCTTGCGCTCTCTCCTGCAACGTATCATACTAATGCATCGCTGTAGCTCAAAGTTTATGTACCGATGGAACCAAGCTGGTGCAAGAACGCCTCAGGGCTCAACAGTTCCGTACAGCCATACCAAATCGATCGCGGTGATTGCAATCCCTTAGAGTACGCCAACAGGTTATGATATTCGTTGTAGTTGCCGCCGCCAATCATAAAGACAATTGCCTCACGGAAAGGAGAACGCTGTCGAGGTACATCACCATTAGCCTTAATCTAGACGTAAGTCATACAACAACATTAGAACTTAACTCTATAGCGCATCTCCACTTGCGCTCGTTCATAATCTTACCTTCGGGTCCAAATACAAGAAAATATCATCCTCTGTGTTTGGCTTCATTTCACAAACAGCGTCCGTGACTCGAGTGACGTGCAGCTTTTTGCTCTCGGGCAAAAAGTTCTTAAAGCTCGCAGCGGCTTGAGCTAAAAAGCCTTGGGCAAGGCCCTTAAATTTGCTCATATTGTTGACACCACCATCAGGTCTAGCGCCGCCTTCGGATTGCAGGCTAGCTCCTACGCTGGCACGTCGTTGGAAAGCCGAATGCTTGCGAAGAAAATTCCACGCCTCCATATACGTCTCCGGCTGCTCTGATGCTGCAGCACATTGCTGGTAAGCATTCTCAAAATCAGCCATTTCTGCACCACTAGCGCCACTCGACAGGAAGTAAATCATCAACAGCCGCATTTTATCCGCCAAAGTGCCCATTTCTGTGCTTGACAGCAGCTGCAGCACCTCGGCCCTGTCTACATGCAAACCATCAATAAGCTTTTGCTCCAGCATAGAGTAGGATGGAATGTGGCGCTTTGTCACGCCCTCGAATGCTGCATGAAAGATGTTTGTGTGAACTTCCAACATTTTTTTCTTTTCTACGAGAGCCGGCAAAGTGTCAACAGCAGCCACAAGATCCTTCGTGCCATTCATTAATGCATCACTTGCTCCTGTCTGTGCTCGAATCATTTCTTCTTTCCGTGTTACCAGCTTCATTTCTTCCTCATTTGCGTCAATTGCGTCTGGAAACAGACTACCAGCATGTGTATCAAAAAATTTGTCACTCGTCACGTCTAAGTCGTACGTGCGTTCCACAAGTCGACCATCATCACCGTCATCAACCCCACCAGAGGTCTTTACCAACACCTTTACACGATTCATCTGAATCGACAAAATGTCGTCAACTAGCGCTTGGTACGTCGACGGGTGATGAAGACTTGATGCGATATCCTCATTTCGATCCATGATGATCAGCACCGGGCGCTGAACGGATGACCAGTACAAACCAAACATAATAAGCATCAAGTACAAACAGCTTTTCCACTAGATTACGAACACAAACACATACCTGAAAACTAGCTGGGTTATCTATAAAAACGCCATTTCTCACATTCTGCATTCAGCAATCCAACCAAAATGACAATCAAAATGTGGTATTGTACGTAAGTAAAAACACATTCATACCAGATGCTCGCGAATGGTAGAGCTTAGCTGCTCTGCCACCATCCTCGATGGTCCATCCGTATTGGGACAGCGAATGACCGGCACTTTTCCAGCAGTAGCAAGAACGGAAAACAGCCCTTTGACAATCGCACTCATTGACTGCTCAATCTGCACATCCGCCACATTTGGGTCGTTGTAAGCTCGATAGCTGTTAGGGAGATTCAAAGAGAAGAGACTTGGTTCTAGCGACACGAAGTTCGAATACTGATCATATACTTTGGCAATCTACACAAAACAGAAAAATAAGTAAACTCTCGACATGTCTTTGCATCGTCAATCAAACGACTTGACACACACCATGCTTGTACACCCAGCTTCCACTGAAGCTCGAGCCAAATACTCCAGTAACTCACGACTCAATGGGTAGGCAAAATTTAAGTGTACTGAGCTGTATAGTTCCTTTGAGCAGTCCAAGACAATACGCTTCATGTTCTCGCGTGTGGGTTCCACAAAATAAATAGCAGGGACATCAGGAATTGCATCACGCTCAGTGTTTAACAGCATATAAAGTGTAACGCCCTTCTTGCGGAGCTCATGCAGTTTAAGAATGGGTGAGATAATGTCGCGACAAAATTTGTCGTAGATTAGAACCTTCCACTGATCACCCCAGCGATCGCTACAAGGACACAAGGAAGCACAGAATAATAACAAGTCAATACATACATCTTCTTCATGTGTCATACCCTAACTGCAGCTTCAAGCGCACATAGAATCCTGGGCAGCATCCGCAAAGCCACCGGTGCTCTCCGAGTTAAAGTCCAACATGCGCAATAGGTTTTCTATAGAAATGTAGAAGCTATTAGAAAATGAAAAGCAGTGCAATAAAAAAAGACAGATCACATAATAAAAGGTGATGGAGAGCAAGAGCAGTACACACCTCGCTGTTTCGCTTGAAGCGACTGCGTCGTCGCCATGGTCATCATCATCTTGAGCTTTGAAGTCGAAAATACCTCAAGATTTTTAGGTCACTGTTAAATACGATTCGTACCTTATAGAAACTAAGGTTTGCACCAAAGAATTGTATCATGATTAAGCGCTAAGCGTGGAAAATGTCAAGATGAGGCTATTGTCATTAATAGTATTTAACGTCTTGTATGACAAAACCTTGATCGTCGTTGTCACTATGTGTACAATGACATGGTTGAGCTCAGACGTACAGTTTCTTCCACTGCCGAAACCTTCTTTAGCGTTGTCTCGAGCATCTTTGACACTTTCAAGTAGATGGCGTTATCCTGTTCCCTCACGGCAGGATTGCTGCCCATGCTACATTTACTTGTCGTGCTAGCATTGGAGACGCTTCTGAAGTACAGCTTACAAATAGCTTTGGAGTGTTTCAAGAAGCGCGTGATGGAAGCAAACGACGTACTTATAACCGACACGTCATTGATGTCCTTGAGCACGTCACCAACAACAAGCAATTCAACGCCCAGGACATCACTACGAGACGAAAAACCTTTTATTCTTGCACCTGTGTCCTTCACCGCTGGTTCCAGTATAATACCAAACCGATCGCTTGTGTTTCAAAGCGCAGACACCAAACTATCGGTGCTGGGAGAGAACGTGCTTGAGAATGAGCTACAGTACGTCAAGCTTGACGACGACGTATTGCTGACACGAATATCTACACTCAATTGATGTAGTTGTGTAAGAAGGTCCTTGAGCTGCAAGGAAATAGCACTTGAATCCACATGATTCATTGTGGAAGACACCATGGATGGTTTCTGACTCAGCGACTGCTCACTAGTCGACGATCGCATGGGTCGAGTCTCTGTCAAAGACAGAACGTCCTCCTTACTCTAGTTGATTTCGCTACTGTCTACACCCGACATACGGCCGTTCATGGACAACATCTGCAGCTTGGAAGCGGACTGCAGAGCCTGCAAGGCAGCATTGCGGATGAGATTGATAGTGTAGCTCGGTAAGTTGTTGGTAATGGCCATGTCAACGGGGTAGCGTCCGTTGCCGTCTTTTGCATACGCCGCCTGCGGGTACACGTCCAATAATGCGCTGATTAGCAGTCCGGGCGCCTTTGTCTGGATGGCCACATGTAGCGGCAGCATGCCTGAGAGATTCGCCAGCTTGCATGCCTCTGGGAATGCATGTGTGAGCATCGAGATGATGCTAAGATCCACTGACGGCTCTGTACATGCCCAGTGCAGCGGCAACATACCAAAGTTGTCTCGAGCTTGCGCAAGCGTCGAATTGAATGCTACAAGAAGTCGCATCTTATCCCAATCACCCTGCTCTGCAAGCTCTAGCACTCGCTTCCTGTCCGTGTCCATGCTTCTGTGTATCATGGTGTATCGTACGTATATATGAAGGACTTAGAATGTGATGATGTGCAATACTTTGTGTGCGACTCTGGCCACTTGCATAAAGAAAGAAGGTTAGACTGGGAGAATGCTTCATTGAACCTTAGATACCATTTAGGTTATGGGTTTGATTTAAGAACAACGCCACGAGCAACTTGGATTAAGTACGTAGGAGTAGATCCTTTACGCCCCAAATATGTCGTAATCAAATGAAAGACCAGGTTTTCCAATAGCTTACTAGTGTCTATTGTGCTCCTTTTCACTAGAATGGAAACGTCGTATTGTGATTCTACTAGCATTGAGTACCTTACGGATCTGTTTTTCAACGATCTTCGCACGGCTTCCAGAGTTTTTCAGCGCTTTCATGCGCATCTACATTGACAAAGCAACTCTCAATATACAGCTGCAAAATTATCCGCCACAAACGCCTTCGACGTGCGACAATGCTCGTATTTCACAAACGTGTCGCCATCTTTTGTCATCATGTCCAAGCATTAGGTGCCCCGGATGTGGCAAGCAAGAAAAGTTCATGAAAATCAATTTACCCGGATGTGGCAAGCAAGGAGGATGAGCCAACTGGACGGCCGATGAAACATATGGCATGGGTTGTGGCCGCCTAACCATGCGTGCACAGACTGGATTTTTTTACAGCAAAAGGGTAATTACTAATCAATTGACGAATCACCGACGCATTATGATGGCCAATCATTTACTCATTTGTGATTTTGCGTCGAGGCGATCGATCACTTTGTATTTCTTAGCATTTGTGTTAGTAGCATTAGGTGTATCAATGTCAAATAAATTTTATCCATTGAGCAAATGATACTTTTCAATCAGCTACTCTGAAAAAGGTTTAGTCGCCTTGCAAAAAAGCATGTTAGATAACGATTTATGATGCTCACTCTTACTCGATAATAATTGCAACCATTTATGACGCTTCGTGCGTACTTGTAGAAATTTGATAGACCATCATCTGACATTCGTGATTGGATCGTTATTGATCTAGCGATTTGCCTCATTCCTCCTCTTCATTGGCACCTTAAAAATTGCTGATCGGTTGCCACAAGTTTATCAATGCTTGTACAGGAAAAGATGCTAATAGGGTCTTCTATGCCTTCTTTTGCTTGGCTCTGCTAAGCAGGTTGGACCCGCCAACATAAACAGACAGGCGCAAGCTAATCGTGGGCAAATTGAATTTTTGAGCGAACATGTCAAAAATTTAGAGACCTAATCACTACTACGAATGACAATGCTAGCCAATCACATCGCTAAAAACGTTGATTTTGGCTACTTTTAGCGTCTTGATCTTTTACATGTTGTTGCACTCCGTGGCCAAAAGTAAAGAAGTTGAGCGGGCTTTCGAACGAGCTGCAAGACCCCGTGGCAAAACAGGAAAACCCAATAGCAAAATAATAATCAAGTCCATATATTCTTGTAGCATGAAACGTAAGCAATCTCACAGCTTTTCCTCGCTTCCGTGTTTAAACAGCGGCTGCTGCATTGATGTTTGCAAGCCACACCAGGACTATAGGATGGTGCACAAGCGCCTCCGCAATTGCAACACCTCATCATTTACCAAGTCGTGCGTCGTGCGCAATACTAATGGGCAGAATAGTAGCAGCAATTACATTACATCAAACCCGATCACGCCTACTTCCCCGACCAGACCGCCACCTGGAACGATGATGCAGTTGGTTGATTGTTTCGTTGACCCGTCCGCCGTTACACCGCACGAGGCAGTGAGCCTAGCCGAAGAAATGGCTGCGGATTTTTACAGTGAGATTTCCATCATGTACGACATGCTATCGGACATTAAGATCCCCACTGATGAGGGCCGCGCCGTAGACGAGCTTATGCGCCGCTTGCACATTTTGTTGAGTGCCAACGCTAATGGACATCACACAGACAGGAACCTGTCTACTCAAATCACCCATGTGCGCGGACTATATAATGGACTCATCCGCGTGTTTGTCTTCTTGTATCAACGGTACTATCGTGCCTTTGTGGTGTTGGAGGTGAATGAACTTTTGACCGCAAGTTGGCAGCGCCTACTTGCCTTTGTGATTGAGTATCACATTCTGGATGAAATGTTTGTTCGCAAGGTGTACGACCATGTTGCCGAGATCGTCGGCTCCCCTTGATATAAAGGCGACGGGGTCGGCTTGAATTTGGTCGGGTGTGCTGTCGCAGCGTTCTAGTGCGTTCGAGCTTAAATACAAAATAGAGCTTTATCATTTGCGATTACCGGTAACTGTCACCAGTTTCGTCTGCAATATTTTGTGGGAGTTTTCTGCACCCATCCTATGAATACAAAAAACAAGTCAAAAGAGACCACACCCGATAGAGTGATGGTCAGATTTTTCTATTGTGTGTTGAAATTGCCGCATTCCGCACGCAGGAGGAAGAGTTGAAGTCCTTCATGGCAACGATCTGTAGCGCCTTTCGACAGCTTACAAGCGCCTGTGTGGCATCAGCGGACTCTCCTCCGTCTCTCAAGCTTGGCATGCCATCATCACTGTCCTCATCTACGCTCACGCTCGGGCCAAATGCGCGCATGACGCTCTCTGGTCCTACTACACGTGCCGCGCTCAATAGTCGCACGGGTTACACGTCGCTAGATCAGTTTACACGATCCGTGGAAAGGATTGCGACACTTCGTGTCGGTCGACTACATATGGGCGAGCGTGTGGGTCGTATGTTTACCTCTATGGACGCGCTGCTGGGCGTGCAGCTCGTAGCCTCATCCCGACGGGATTTTCGCGTCTGTGTGAACTTTGTTCTTCCTGGTAGCGATGCAGAAGCATTAGGCATTCATCCGGCAGCTTTTGTAGTAGCTATTAATGGTCAATCGATGCGTGGAGTGAGTCTACAGCGGATTCTAATGGCAATTCGACGTGCACTGTGTTCTACAGAATACCAGAGTGATGGTACAGCGATTGAAGTGCCTGAAATTGGCGATTATATTGAAATTAATTTTGCTCAGAAAGAACACGAGATGAATGTAGACCGCAACCCGTTTGCGCTCACGCAGTTTCCGTCCCCACAGGGCCAACATTTGCCTGGAGTGAAGCAATTTGAAGACGGATATGAGGTAAATACAAGACAAGAGCCCAAGCAGATTCAGGAAAAGATCTCTCCGACGCTTCTTCTTCATGGACGGGAAAGATCGAGGTCGTTTAAACACTTTTGGATGTCGGACAGATCTAGCAAGGCGTGCTACGAATGTGAACAATTATTCACGTTTTTTCGACGACGACATCACTGCCGCTCGTGTGGACAGATTTTTTGTGCAAACTGTTGTGCTAGGTTACCACAATCGTTTGGAATAAACAAAGTAGACGAGTCAATTGAACGGCTGAGGAAACAGTTGGTGTGTCATAGTTGTCATCGACAACTACGAGAAGGACTGCAGATGGAATTGACAGGCGCTAAGTTTGAGGAGGACCCGCAGAAACCGACCAACTCACCACTTTCCCAGACGCTTTTACTTATGCCACAGCATCTTGCTGAAGCTATGGAACGCACGACGTCCGACGCGTCGAATTGTAAGCAGTTGGATAAATCGGATTTGTTTGGAAAGGATGAAATTAGTGACGACATGCGGGTCAGCGAGCAGCCTGAAAAGTCTAGGCCACCAGTACTATTTAGTATGTTTCCCAAGGTTCAAATTGTTGCAAGCGCGCAACATTTGGCTCACCAGCCGCACCTGCATGAACTGACAAAAGAGGTTAAGCAAACTGGTCACAAAATTGCGCGTAGACTAAGGACATTTAGCGAACCACAAATTTTGTTTGAACGAAAGAATGCGCAGCATGTATCCCGGAAACTGAAGCACTCGAACAGTCAGGCGGATTTAGGCAACCCGAGCAATCATCGCTGGAGCGAGGCGGAGTTTAAGCGTCTTGTCGCGGAGTCAAATGCGCAAGCAAGGCTTGCCGGGGCATTTCCTCCCACTTCGAATGCCTTAACGTCGCGGCCCAAGGCTTTGTCTGTGTCATTTGACACAGCACGCTTCGGGAATGCTGTTCAGTGGAACCCGTTTGGCTACGAAAAGCTTGCTGCAAAAGATGTCGGCATCCTTGCCATGGTTGGCTTGTCCAAGGATGCTCACAATGAACTAGACGATTTTGAGCGCGTAACTAGAAGAGAAGCAGTTGTGAAACGAATGTCGAAAGATTCTCGCGATCGTATTGAAGAGCGCATTTTTCATTTGTTAGATAGCTCTGTGGCAATCTCTCAGCTTGCAATGGTTGAGCAGCATCGGTGGATGCAAATTATCAACTTGTTTGCTCATCGAGCTGCACTCACTGTCTCGTGCGAGCCCGACCAAGGCGATCTACTGGACATTATGCAGTATGTCCGTATTCAATGCTTGGATGGTGGCCGTGTGCAAGATAGTTTCTTTATTGATGGCGTCCTGATTCACAAAAGCTTGGCTCGCAAAGGAATGAGAAGTGATATCTTGAACCCACGCATTTTACTGATTGCTTCGGCTTTAGACTACCAGCGCAAGAAGGAGGTGATCTCGTCGTTGGAGAGTGTGGCTGGCCAAGAAGTAGAATACATGCATATTGTTACGGAGAAGATTATGACCCTCAGCCCTGATATCGTCATGTTCGAAGGTCACGTGCATCGAGTTGCAGAGGAGTTGCTCTGTAAAGGCAATGTAGCAGTTGTCAAGAACGTCCGCTTGATCGACTTGCAACGAATTGCTCGCTGCACTGGTGCGTCCGTGCTGACGTCTTACGATCACATTGACAAAATGTCCGATGTTGGAGTGATTGGGACTTGCAAGCGATTTTATGTATTGCTGAGCGACCAAGAGCCGAAAAGTGCAAAAAAGATTGCTTTTCGTGCAAGTGCTGACGGGTGCTACGAAGTGGAAGAAAACTCTGGCATTTTTCGACAGCGTCGAAAGCGAGCTCAGCGCCAGAATATTGTGTTTGAAGGAGGCATCATGTCAAAGGGTTGCACTTTGTGCTTACGCGGAGGAACACCTGATGTTTTTGCTGACATTACGAATGTGCTAACTACAATCATCCGCTCCGCGTATAACATGCGGCTGCAGCGGTCTTTGTTGGCATCTTACGGATACATCCCCCCTAGCGAGAAACACGAGCGTTCTGTCGCGGAGGAATGGTTTGCCGAGTCGTCAACATCCCTGTACATTTCGCTCAAGTCTAACTCACTATCAATGCGTGCTGCTCTGAAGGAAACACAGGCTATGTGCAAGTGGTGCAAGGCCCACACACGGTTTAACAATATCAGTTCTCTTCGGGGGGTTCATGGAGCAAACGGCGACGACAGTTCATCGGCAAATGCAACTTTCATGCAGTCAGGCCATCCTAGTTGGTGTATATGCGGTGCAAAATCATCTAGCTCGCTGAGGGACCGTATCCTGTTTTCTACTTGCTGGAGTTCGCTGGAGGGGAAAACGGCATCGAAAGCTGAAATGATGTGCATTGACTTTTACAGCTCGAACGATATGTCAGTAGGCCAATTTCTGGATAATTTCTGCTTTTTTAATAGCAAGGCTGAGTTTAAGCGCGCTTTCACAGCGTCAAAGCTGTCTTTTTCTCATGATACTGGCCGCGTTATTATACGAGTAAAGGATCTTAGCGAGTTCAAAGACACCAGTGATCAGCAACCCTCAGCAGAATTTCTTCGGGAGTTTAGCTATCGTTCCATTTTGCAGCTGATTCGATCGGATGAAGTGCTGGTGTGGTCACGGAATATGAGTGATGGATACGTTTCTACTTTTCTGTCCTCAGAATATTCGGTAATACCGAGGGACGCGTGGAACTACTCTTTTGGTAAATTATTAGAAGACATGTTCTATGGAAAAGCTATGGACATTGACTGCGTCCGTTTCCCGCACTTATCTGGTGTAAGCGGGTCGCGAGATGCCTCGCTGGTGCACTATTTTTCTCGTCATGGACGAGTTGTGAGTATGCATGTTGAGCCTCTCGAGCCTGTTCTCCACGTTGCATTGCAGCCGGCGCTGTGGCAGGACCATATTGATCACCAAGTACAACTCGAGGCTATTCATGACCTTTGCGATCTTGTTCGCGAAGTGTACGAGGTCACAACTTCGAAAGTCGCCGAGTCGATGGCAGATCTGGTCACTCCACTCCATGCGAAACAGAACTTGAAAATTCTACGGAATGAAGTCCAGCAATGGTATTCCTGCTTCGGCGCAAAAGTTGAGGCGAATCCACCGCAAGATGTGTTTGCATACAACGCTCACTTTCGGGAAATTTACGAGTACGCAGTTGGTTGGAGTTTGCGCATTACACGTACCGTTCAGGCTACAGTAAAGCCAACAATGGTGCATCACATTGATAGTCCAAAGAGTGCCCTGCCCAAGGCTTGGTTTGATCAGCTAGCGCAGCAAGCAGAATCTAGCGACTGCTACAGCGATCCATCCACTCCTAGTGTGTTAGGGACAACGCCAGTGAATATTAGCTTCCAGGAACCTGGTAACTTGGCACATCTTGCAAGCTTTGCACGCAGTCTCGCTGCTGCAAACAACGCGTCGCCAGTGCGAGGAGTGGCGCAAGTCGCCAACGAAGTCGCCAACACGTTGCGGCAGAATGGAATTCCAAGCTCACACCAATCAGAGCTATGGGAGGCGGATGAAAGCTACGATCGTTATGACGAATCTAGCCATTCCTTTCCGACCGATTACATGGCAGAAGCAGAGCTGTATTCGTCAGGGACACCAGTGTTTGGAAGATCATTGTCAATATCGGGTGTTTCTGGCCATGTTTCCTCGACCATGGGAGCGCTTACGTCAAAGAAAGCACTCGAAAATTTTCGTTTGACGCAGCAAGCAAAGAAGCCTGACGGCCTGGGATACTTGGCGTTGCCTAAACGCCTGCTTGAGTGGCACCCCAGCTTACCAATGGGTGCGAATAAGGCCCCGGTTTTGGTCAACACAAAACAGCCGACTTCGGTGGTGGCGTACTCTCTGTTTTCAAACGAATATAGCCGATGCATCAACGATGACATGCGCAAGGAAGCCTCTCGATACGTGCTTGAGGTACATCATGCTGAGAACGGAATTCCGCCCAATTCCAGTTGCGGCCAGTCCGAAGAGATTAAGAACATGTTGCGCATCTTGCGCTCAGCCACGCGAAACAATGTTGATCACAGTTTTGTTGACGAGAATCAGTTTCAATCGGCTGTCCGCTTTAGTTGCAAATCGTACTACGCCATGCAATTCCATGCGCTTCGAAAGCTGTACTATGGAGGTGACCGGAACTACGTGGAATCACTTTGCAACTGTCAGCAATGGAATGCTGCAGGCGGTAAGTCCGGCGCCGGTTTTCTGAAGACTCGTGATGAACGCTTTATTGCAAAGGCCATTCCAGAAATTGAGCTGCAAATGTTCCTGAGCATGGCAAACGAATACTTTTGTTACATGGCAAAAACGTTCGAAAACGATTTGTCATCTATGCTTTCTAAAGTGCTTGGCATATACAAGGTTTCCATCTCAAACACAATCCAGAGTGGCGACAGCGATCAGAACGTGCGCATGTGTGTGATCGTGATGGAGAATTTGATGTATGGGCGTGAAGTTGATTTTTCATTCGATCTAAAAGGCAAGATGGAGGGACGCTACAAGGAGGGTCAATTTGGAGACAGCCGCTCTGTTTTGTGGGATCGCAATTTCGTGGAGTTGGCGGGCGGTATCCCGTTACCTTTGCAGGAATCTGCGTTGTCGTTATTACTGTCTGCGATTATGAACGATACAACCTTTTTGGCATCCGTCCAAGCAACTGATTACTCGATGCTGGTTGGCTACGATGTCAAAAAACAGGAGCTGGTAGCGTGTATTATCGATTACATCCACAAGTACGACTTCATGAAGATGATGGAACACGCTGGGAAGCGGCTAATTCAAGAGGAAGGAGAAATCACCGTGCTGAATCCAAAGCACTACCGCAAACGTTTTTGTCTAGCCATGAACAAGTATTTTGTCACAATTCCATCCCGGTACACAAAGGTGACCAAAGTTGTCCGGAATGCAGCGTCCAATACGACAGCCGGCAGTGCAGGTACAACAATTCAAGAAGAAGAGAAGGATTACCTTCAACCTCCTTATAGTGCCTGTACGACTGCCAGCAATGTAAGCACAATTGCATCAATTATAGGTACTCATCGCCGACAACTGTAGAGGAAAAATCACGATGCGATGTGAAAGCAATTTACTGTACAATACTCGAGTGTGACGGTGCGACGAAATTCAAACCAAGAGACGAACATTTCGGCATGCACGATACCAATAGAATATCAATGGATTCAACTCCGCCTGTCCAAGGTAATAATGAATGCGGTTTGCATTGAAGCAATCTTGTAGCAACATTATGTGCCGTAGTCAAAGAAGGTTGACGATTTCGTGTCGTTAAAGCTGTTTAGCCCCAGACCTTCAGTGACAAATCCGTTCAAGCCAACGTCAAGCACTGATTGTCATCACATTGCCAAACGATATACATCCTCCTGAGTTCGTCAACAGAGTTTAGCTACAATGATTAAAACCGCACGGCGTGTGAGGCAAGTGCACAATCTGTGCTACTAGATTGTATCCAAACATGTCTGTGAAATGGCTCACACGCCGTGCGTGATCAGGAATTCTAGTGCCATTGCAAGTGTTTGCAGTGGTAAAGCCTTCCAATGGGGTAATGTGTATTCTGCATTCAAACACTAAAGTTTGCAACAAACTTGCTTTCAGATGGTAGAAATAGTAATGTATGAGTCAGTATTGGGTCAGTCTGAGTCAATTCGACGAAGTTTTAGTGCTGACATCGCTTTTTGTAGTTGTCTCAATAGCTAGCTATTCGATTCGTGTACTTGCGATCAATCTTACAATCGATACTAGAAAATATCATTATGTGATTTATCATCCAATCATTTGCTTTTCTTTTTTATCCAATGACCAGACACAACACATTCGTTTACTTCCAGGACAGTATGGTCGACTCTCTTATCGGTCCATTTGCTGAGCTCTGTGGTGCTCTCCACGGTCTTCAGGACAAAATTGAGCAGTTGTCGCGTGTTTATGATGCAGTTGATGACTTTAACTCAGCTTTTGGTACGTTTCAAGGTGCCATGGCACTCCATGCGTCGTGTCTTTCGTATCCCAAGATCGTTCGAGCTCCTCCAATTCGAAGCTATAGGGACAAGGAAATATCTACAGGGACGGGAACAATCAAGACAAATGTATCAATCAATGAGAATGATATTCAGACAAAGCGTGAGGTTTCATTTGGAGGCAAAGATCGAAACAAGACTGATGATACTATCACTCGCGATAAACAAGTATTGAAGCCTATGAAGGAGACGATTGTGTCTAGCATTAGCATCAAGAGACAGGGAAAAGTAGAGCCTCATGTTAATACACGTATCAAGAAAAGAAAGACACACATGGGAAAGACAGTTCAAGCAGCTTGGACGTGGGAACGACGTACGTTACTGCTGTAATGAGTACATGATGTCGAGCTGAGTCGAGTGTTTTCTACTGTGGGTTGTAGATATTCGTGAAAAGATTCCACGCAAGTATCAAAGCCCAGCTGAGCTAAAAAAGCTCGAGAATATTGTGCTCTATCTCAAGAATCGCCACTGCGCCATGTACGTTGGAATGTTTTTTTTTCTTCCTGAAAGACCAAGTGTAATGGGTTGACTTGGCTGATGTATGATTTTATGTGATAGTTCTATCTCGGATCTAGTGAAACATAGTGGATTACCTGTCATTCGATGCAAGGAAATCCTTCAGACACTTATGAAGCTTGACATCATTGAGCGTAAGCGCGAAAAATCGGTATGCTTTTTTCCATTGTCTTTTGTTGGGAAGTAGCTGCTAGTGTACCACAACTATTGCCTTGTCGTCTTGAATTCACCTGTGCTGTCTTCATGCGTACCGACAGGGCTTCGTCTACAGCTTTGGCATCTCGAACTAAGTCTTGCTTTGGCGTAATGCTATGCGTGTGGCGCTATAGGTTAAGCCGACGTTGCCAAGGATGGTGTTAGATGATGCCTTTTCGCGATGTTTTACACAGTATGCTCGCCGTATTTATTCAATTGACGCGGTTTTGAAAGCTTTTCTGCCTGATACGCAGAAAAAGGTCTACCTGCTTTTGCTCGTCTTATCACTTTAGATCTGAGTCGTCTTTGGTTTCCCACCGCTCGTTGATGCTTTCCTCCAGCGCCATGTCGTCACGCGAGAAACGTGGAGGCCGGGCAAGGGTAAGTGGTGACGCCTTTGGCACAATCACACTTACGCCTCTTGTCCCGCCACCATCGCGCACAACGTCTGCAAAGCTCATCGAGCGTTCACTGTTCTTGCGGCTATGAATCTTTGCTGTCTCTCTACCATTTATCTGCTTTGTCGATGACAGACGGCGTGGCTGACACCCGTGTTTCGTCGAGATTTGACGAAGCGAGTGCACTTGTGTTTGGGAGAGGTCGTCACCGCTTTTGCTCTGGGGAATGAGCCGCGGACTGCCAGTGTACCCCTTCCTTATGCGATCAGGACGACTCGCTGTCGACGATGGTGAAGCCATCAACTTCTCACTCTCACTTTCGCTATGCCTTCGCGATGTGGGCTCATTACGATACGCACTCGTACTGCGTGGCTGTGGGATGCCAACATGGTCATATGACTGTTGTGGCGGCTGATGATGATGGTGGTGGTACGCGTCCTGTTGCTGGTGTTGCTGCGGGTTGTAAGAGTGACATGCGTAAGAGTGCTCTATACCCATGTACGAAGTTACTCCGACCGGTGCAGACGCAGCAGTATCAGGCTTTGCATTTACAGGAGCACTTGCACCCAATATGGCACGTAAAATATTGTCCGGGTGCAGTGCAACACCAGCTACTAAATCGATCCGGTTATGTGTAAACACTGTAGGATCTCGCGATGCAGTAAGCAATGCAAGGTGAGCTGCTGAGAACGCGCGGCGAATCTGCATAATCCGGAAACAATTTCTTCCCACATTGTTGCTTGGGCATAATGGATCCTCAATAAATACCGGGTCGAACTTGTGTGGATCATACGTCTGCTGCTGTAGCTGCTGGTGGTCTAAAAGGCCTGTTGCGGCATTCATTCCATCTAGTGCTCGAGATGCTGGCAAGTCCAGCGACGAACGGTAGCCGTACCGTCGACAGCCCGGAGCGGGTGCTGCCTCGGAGTGTGGTGAAAGCATTTGTATGTGAGGCTGCGCAGGCATTTGCCTATGCTGACCGTAGCCATATTGGCTTGTGCGGTCGTCCACGGCGGCATCATCAGCAGCGTATTGCTGCTGATATTGGTGCGGTACTTGATGAGGGTCGCCAATTCCTGACGTTCCTGGCCCCGCCATAAAAGCGCTCTCACGATTTAGAAAACAGCGCGAGGCTACACTAATTCCCGTCGTGCGCGGGTCAAACCGGTTTCCGTAGAAGTCCAGAAAGCCCATGAGCATCAAACCAAAGTCTGCCACGCCCGCCTGTACCGTTGACAGGCTGTGCTGTACAGCCCGAGAAGCGTTCGCAAACCCGTTGGGCATTGTGTCACTGTGTTCCTGGAGATAGCGCGCCACAAGCAGCAACAATGCGTACGACGATAGTCCGCCCGAGTAAGCTACCGCCAGACCCCGCTCGATTGCAAAACTTTTTAGAATAAGCATCATTGGCGCTAGAGGCGGAAATTCGTGTAGCAATGCAAGCACGACGTCATTGGTAGCCAGACCGTTGTGACCGGGGCCTTCAAACGAGATGTCGAGCCTTACATTGTATGGAGGGGCAGTAAGGAGCGTGATAATCGGAACAGCAGCATGCGGTAGCGTCTTTACCGAGTCACGCACAACCCAAGGCTCTTGCTTTAGCTTGCGGGCAAGATTCTGTTGCCACGTCTCCTTAATAGCGTTTCGACCTTCCAACATACCAGCAGCGTCAGCCGGTGCGTCACGACGCACCTTTGGCAAGCAGATTACGAGATCGACGTCGCTTGACGGAAGTACAAGCCGCGTTACATGTGAGCCGTACGGTCGCACCTGTGCACGCGGCCATAGCGATTGTACTGTCGCCATACACAACCGTTGAGCAGCAAGCTGAGCAGGAAGGCGTGAATCACTGTCAGCTTGAAGCTGTGCTGCAAATTCACACAGGTCCCAGTGTAACTTACTTCGTGGAGGTAGCACTGACAATGGGACTGATACAAATGGTCCCATGATGGAGTTTGTTTGTGCGTATGCTTCCGGAAAGGTAGGTACTGCAGTAGATGTGCTTCCAGCTTGCTGGTTTAGGGACGAAGGGGATGGCGAAAACGGAGCTGGTGGCGAGCTGCAGGAGCTTACATGACCCATGGACATATTATCCAGTCCACTCGTACTTGCGGGGACAGATTGCTGAAGGAGTTGCAATTCTTGCACATTGTTCTCGGTGTTGTGAAGCTGTGCTGTTAGTGTTGCTACAGTCTGCTTGAGTGTCGTGATTTCAGAAGACGCACTAACAGCATGCTCGTTCATGACCTAAAGACATCAGTAAAATACTGATGAGCACCAACGCAGAATCTTTCGTCTCATTCATAGCAAGCACGTACCTTAGTTTTCTCAACCAGCTTTTCTTCCAGCATTGTAATGCGCTCTAAAGCCATTGCAACCTTGACGTTCAGATCGCTTGCAGAATCTCTCATCGAACACTTTGACGACGCAGTAATGTGTGTGTTTTTACAGCCTTTGACTTTATTGTCGTTGTTGCTGTCGGCATCGCTATCTTCAGTGTACTCCATACGCTTATTCCGGAGGCGAGAAGCGTGGTGGCATGCACACTTACAGCAGTGGACACACTCTATCCACATATCATCCTTCTGGCCTGTGTCAATGCACCGCTTTGAGCCCCCGTACATATTAAAACGCCCCTCTCTGCGAGCGTCATGTTCATCAGCAATATCTTCCTCGCTCTCTTCGTGAGCGTAGCCAAATGGCCATGGACGTCGTCGACGTTTCAGAGCGCGCTGACGATCAAAGAATCCCCCCTCACGATATAAAAAATCAGACTTGTTATCGCTATTCACAGCAATTGAAGCACCGTCGTCGTTTTCGCGAATCGATGTGACCGTTAAACCTTGTCTATCATGATCCATTTGGCCAGATTCTCGTCGACTTGAGTCCATCCCAGCTATCTTAGAAAATGATGCCAGCGAATACTTTTTCGTTGATCCCGATATCCTCGCGTTTGCAAAACGAGACGAAGCTGAGGAAGTTGATGATGACGAAAAAGGTGGTGGCAGCGGAGGGTCCAACTCATCACATCTGGTCGTAGGAGGTGACGCTTCTTTATCCGAAAAATTTCCGTCCGAAGTCTTAAATTGCCAATGATTAAAATGCCAATCGAGAGAAGGCGTTAAGGAAATAGATCGTTGCGCAGAAGCCTGGAACGAAAAGACGGATGGCATGTACCACTCGAAATTTGATGTCTCAGAAGTAGCTGGTGCTTCATGAGAAACATGTCCTGATCCTGCTGGACACGTATGATTTTGTCCACCACTGTCGTCATCGTCATCAATGCCTCGACGAGACACTGGAGGTGGGTGCGCGTGATGGTCCCGAGGTGCCAACGACAGATAAAAAGGAGTTGTTAAAGATGAAGGATAGAACTGTTGAGAACCAAACGTCGGTAGTGGTGGTAGCGCAGACGCAGACAAGTTCGATGATGCTGGTGCTCCAGTCGACTCTACATCAGAGAATAAACTTAAGCGCGGACCGTCATCTTGTGTACTCACGCTGTCTCTATTGCAACCAACCAGCGGCGTATCATCCTGAGAAGATGAAGATTCCGAGCCGGCGGTCACAGGGCTGAGTTTACCAGCATCATCCTTCCCACTCATTCCGCACGAACGCGAACCGTTTGATACTCTGACAGGTTGGGGTAAAGTAACCAACAGCTTTTCACCCTTACTGCTGCTTCCCAGTCCCGCAGCCACTGGCGTGACACCCGACTTTTTCCTTTTCGTTTTCTTCCTTTTTCTTTTTTGTTTATGTTGAACACAGTTCTTGCTGCAGCGGTCGAATAAAATGCTCCACCCACTTGGTGTTGTCTGACCATCATCAACAGCGTTGTCAATTACGTCGCGTAGTACCTTATCTACGCACGCGATAGCTTCTTCCTGCTTCCGACGGTAATGTTCACGTAGCTCGCGCAACACGTCACTGAAACGTGCCTGTTGAGCAGCACGGATTTCGCCTTCGCGACGTCGCAGCTTAAGCATTTTCTTTCGACTTGCACGCCGTCGTTGAGAATGGTTGGTACCCTTAGCCTTGACTTCGAGACCACAATCAACAATACTAACTCCATCGCTAAGGGACATACCTGCCAACATATTTGAAGCAGCAGTCACCTCTTCTTCCTTCGACAGCCTTTCGCAAAGCAAAATCGAGCATTGCTCTTGAAGATGCTCGGCCAGCAATAGCTTTATCACTCCCACTTGAGGTCGAGTCACTGCGTCTTCAAATGCACACGTGAAACAGCTATCCACCAATAGACCATGATCACTTCGATACCTTGCCTGTTGACGCACAGTCAGTATACACAAAAGCGACTCCAACGACAACCGCGCGGCCTGAAATTTTGCTGCCTCTGCCGCTTCGACAGGTACTGACTGCTTCAGAGCACGAAGATGCTCGATCGTCTTTGAGCTAAGCACGCTTAATACCGCATTCTTCTGATCGATGCTTGCTGTTTCCCATTCGTGTACCAAGCACATCTTGGATGCAAGACCTTGAAGTGGTATTCTCGTAGTCATGTCTTTCTTGTGTTGCTTCCAAGACGCCCAGATGTTAAGTTCCTACCAAATGGCATGCAATTATTGTACAAAGTCAGATAAGATACAAAGCAGCGTACTACTATGCAAGTACGAGAACCATTCAAAACATGTTGCAGTAAGTACGCACTATCTGATTAACGAAAAGTGCTTGCAGCGAATAGTATCCTTGTTCCTTTAGCCACTACATAAGAGCCACAAGAAAACACAGGCACCACAATACAAAGGCGTCACGACACGTCTTATTTTCCCTCCTATTGCCACATGAAAATGTCGTACTTTTGTCTCGGCCCATATCCGATGTTTCAACGTCGTTTCTGATGGACAGTCCATTAGAAAATGACCACATGATATCACCTCCATCAAGTGGAAAAAGTCAGCAGCAAAGGCTCCACGTTTCTTTATTGAAGGTTGAAAAAACTCCATTGATAGTGCTACGGTGTCGCAAGACTGCAACGTATTGAGGACTCGCATGCCTTTTAATAGTTTTCCACAGCACTCTTCGTACTCTCGCGTATGAAAGCTCCAGATCATATCACCATCAAGTGTTTTAACGACTGGACGCTTGACAAATTCCCTATGATTACAACACAAAATAACCCAGTAACAACATAACCATCAACCTATTTCAATCCTTCTACGGTATCAAACAATGTCTTCACCTTAGCGTGGCTCTTGACGGTTTCTTTATGGCTGTAGACTTGTTCTGAGTCACATGGAAGACAGTAGATGTATGTGGCATGAGCTGATATTCATGTACACGCGGTTTATTGCCTCTAGAACACGCTGCCATGTGTAGCAAAGTCTTGACAAAGCCTACATTCTCCACACAGCACAGAGACGCCAATTCTTTACCGTTTAAGCTACGCAACCATCTCAAAATAGCGTGTTTTTCCATATTGCTGTGTTCACAGCTACTGCGACGTCGACGTAGAGACATCGCGAGCTCTCCGAGTGCGCGTACGAGCGACTTGGTGTCGCTTGCCATGTTGGCAAGAATGATTGTTAAGGTTCAACTCGACGTTGAGTTAATTTTATTTTAACGAATGAAAAACATCGTTTGCGTTGTAGCTTTTTGTTAGCCAATCAAACGTATGATAACACAATTTGAACTGTACTGATTTAAGCGATCATGTGCATCTGCTGTAATAGACTCAAGGCACTCACGATAGTCATAGTGACTGCCATGGTTACAGCAATTATTTGAATCGTGCGATGGTGTTTCTTACCCACTCGAGCAATAAAAAATGCTGGAAGCATAAAGCAGATGATTGGATTTGTTGTTGCACCAAGCACACCGAGTACAGACGCAATGCCACCGGATCCCAATGCCACACAAAGTGTCGAGAAGACGAGAAACAATGATGAACCAGTGTGATGCATCAAGTCCACTTGACGTCGCTTCAGTAGCGCTTCTTGTATATTGTCACGTAAAGTGTGGATGAACAGCGGGATCGAAAGGATAAGTGCGAGGCCGAAACCCAAACAGCCCGCACCCACAGCACCATCGCCGTGGTAATTGTTCTTGAGAAAATTCGACCGAGTCGCCTCACCAAATGTGAGCACTACAAAGAATCCACAAAGTGCATACACGGCCGTCGCAGTGCCGATACTACGGTTCATAACCTTGCACATCCGTTTGCTGGATCGACGCTTGAGTATCAAGTAAATAGGAAGAACGTTCGGGTGGCACGTGAACGAAAACACTACGAGTGGAATCGCACGTAGCAAGTGGCTAAGTCGCCAATCAAACAACGGTAGATGCTCCAGCTGAAACGCGATCGTCGGGGCCAAACCTTCGTGCACAAATTGAAAATACTTGATCACGATTACCAATGCCATGAACACGATACAAATGATCGAAAACAGCGATGAAAATCGCAGGGAATCAAGACTTTGGAGAAGTGATAACGGCAGCACGAGAAAACCAATGAGGATCAAAATCAAGACCTGTCGGTCTAGAAAGACGCTCTGACTTGTGTTTCCCAAAAACGTCCGCAATGCAAGTTGGATAAGCTCTGCACTACCCACAAGGTAACCGATAGAAGTACCAAAAAGGTTCATGCACACAACCAGCTGTGTAAAACCCGCCAACTTTCGTCCGCCCGTAGCCATGGCCAAATCCATGTACGATCGCGCTTGACTAAGATTTGAGCACTCTAGCAGCATTCTCAACGTAAAATTGGTAGCAATTGATCCTAACACAATGAGTGAGATGCCGAGAATCAGTCCTGCCTGTGCCACGGCGTAGGGCAGTGCCAACACACCAGCACCCACAATCGCAACTGTCATTGTAAACATAGAGCCTTTTACTATAGCCAGAGAATCAGCACAATGGTCATACTAAGTCTTCAGTAGTAATATGTCACACAAAACAACAGTTATGTTTACCTGATCCAGGTGCCATTCTATCCATAAAATACGTCTGGAAGAAACCTCCACGTTTGCCAAGTCGTTGCTGCTGTCGCAAGAAATCTTCATCAAATACAAGTGTTTCACGCTCAGAAATAAGCTCAAAGTCATCAGTAGACGTAGCTGTAGATGCAGAGCTGTTTGTCGCTGCAGTCTCGCCTAGCAAACGTTCCGACATACTGTCGTTAACGTCCTCCCCGAACGCCATCATGATACCGACCCTTTTTGAGAATTAAGTTTTACATTTAATTTTGAAATGCAATATTTACTTTATCAAGTGTCAATAGTGACATTCAATTTAAAAAAGATGTGCTAAGCGAAAATTATGTAGTCTAATATTTGCTAAGTTCGGTTTTAATTTGCATTTTTGCAAGGACGTTTAAATGACGACGTAACGATGCAATTGAAGAGAATAAATTACGATATAATCTTTACCTTACATCATTCAATTGCTGTTAATTAATCAGTATTAACTATCCAGGAATGTGTATTATATTAGGCTTATGATACTCTTTATTTTACTTACAATGTAACGTATAAAATTCTTTGCACTAACTTGTCGTAAAACAAGGTGTAGTCTACAATCTTGTCGTAAAACAATGTGTGATTTACTAACTTATCGTTATTGTTGCAGTATTCTTACTTCCTTGTCACGTCGTCAGTTGGCTATACTTTCACTTGTTCAAATGCAGTAACCTCTCTAATAAGTTCATGCACTGTAGAACGCAAAATAACACGTACACCTCTTTCTTTAGCCAGTTTCGCCTCGCGACTACGAAGTTTCACATTGAAACCAAATATCGGGCACTTGCCATTGATGGCAACATCAATATCTTTCGTCGAAATATTGCCAATGCCCAATCGCACAGTCTAGATGCATAAATCACACACAAAACACAGAGTAAAGAGTAAATTCAAACACACCATCCATACTTTACTTAATCTATACCATACCGATATGCCCGACATCTCATCCACCGTGTCTTGGATACTCGTCAATGATCCAGCGCCATCAGCTTTTACAATGATTGGCTTGGTTGCGATCAGATCGCTTTCGTTTATCACATCATCAACTTTGGCTAAGTCTGCAACACTTGACACGTCTTGGTCTTTTGCTTCAACATCTGTAGCTGTATATTCAGCATCCATAGCTGCGTGTAAACCATCAGCGTCAGGTAGAAGGCAGTCACTAAATGCCACGGCGAGTTCTCTGGCCAACAAATATCACAAGTAATCGTTAGTCCAAAACAGCATCCACTCAATTGTTCCTTTTCATACTATACCTTTGCTCAATCACCTGCTTTGCACGTGCTTCAGGGAGCACGAAGAAATCGTGTTCATTTGGTGCATCAACGTTTTTTGACTTGTTCAAGTACGTAATATCGACAACTGTTCCAGGCAACGCACGCTTGACATCGCGACCATCAGCTTCCCACATGCTACGAACCACGCCGTGAATCATGCCAGCGACAAAATGCTGTTTGACCGCCAGCTCTCCGTTCTTGATTAAAACACGCAGCACCGTTCCACGTCCTTTCATTGCCACACTTTCCAATACAAGTCCCTCAGCGTGCGTTTGAGGTCCAACCAGCGCATCTAGCCTGTGATCACCTGCCAGTCCACTCACCAGCTCCCACACGGTATCTCGCAATCCATCCAGTCCAGTACCCGTCTTTCCCGATATGGACAGGATGGGACTATCCTGCAGAGCAACAAATGAGCGTAGCTCATCCACAATGCGAGCAACCTGTCCCTCTCCATCATCTCCCAACAAGTCCACCTTGTTGATACAAACCACAGCCGGCAGTCCAGCTTCCTCAATGGCACCAATCGACTCTTCAGTCTGCAGCAGCACACCTTCATCCGCTGCTACAATCAATAGTACCAGATCTGCCACTTGCGCTGCACTTATCCGCATCCGGAAAAAGTGAAAATGGCCAGGGGTGTCTAAGAACGTCGCTTTGACGTCCTGCGTTAGTGTTGCTTCACAAACATTAATCTTCTGTGTGATGCCATGCTTCTCCAAAGGTGCAGTCTTCTTTACACTCGGCTCCATCTGCCTCCTCAAAGTGTCCATCAGCGTCGTTTTGCCGTGGTCAACATGACCCATAACAGCAATGACCGGCTGTCGAAGGCCCACAATCTCCTCGTCAGAAGCATCCGATGGATCCAAAAGCTCTGGCTCTACTTGGTTGTAAGCTACTTGGATATTAAATTGCTCGGCCACCTCCTGGGCCACTCGGAAGGGCAGAACAATCTGCTTTATACCATTAAATTCGGCTCGCTGGTGAGTTTTCGTCTTGAGATAATATCGACGATTTGACTTGATTACTGTCTGCTTCAGCACCTTTTCCAGTGGTTGACGCAGAGCTTTAGCAAGATCACGTACACGTATAAAGGCTGGAATAGCTGGCGGTTGATTGCGTGCGTCTAAGACACGTTGACGTTGCTCCAATCGAGCGCGTTCACGCTCTAGCATCTCAGCTTGAATCTTTGTAATCCTCATCATGTGATCTTTATAACGTTGATGACCTCCACGTGCAGTACGCAGTAAACGAGCGCCATTACGAGGTCGAAACTGGGACGGACGTAGTCGGATCGAAGTCACTGGTTGAAATAGACGCAACATTTGCTATGAAGTGAGTGAGTCACCAGAAAAAACCAATCTCCACGGACAGATTTAATTGGTAGATATACAGATTGTATTAATATAACCAATTATAAGATAAATGACGTCGACGTCGTCATAGCTGGTTCAATACGGCAAGTACGTCATTATTTGAATTTATTTAGAAACGACTGACCGACCGACCGACAGACCATGCTGGACTTTCGTGAGACCTTTTCAGGCGTTATGGGTGCCTTTTGCTGTGTATACAGGTCTTCTTTTGAGGTAGTAAAGGTGCGACTACAGACACAAGGCACAATGAATGCGTACAAGGGTGTGAGTGACGCTTTCTATCGCATTGCGACCGAGGAAGGTGTTGTTGCGCTCTGGAAAGGCGCAGTGCCAGCGTTATTTAGCTCTGTTATTGAGAACTCGGTGTTATTCAGTGCCAATGGTTTTGTCAGCGCGCTGTCGTGGCAGTTTAGGCTAAGCAACGTGTCGAGCATGAAGGAGAGTATCAGCTCACGACACTGGATGAAGCGTGTACGGGGGCGTTTACTGGCTGCTTTTCTGCTACGGTATTGATCCAGACATGAATGCTGGTGCATATTGTTATAATCACTAAGCTGACGTTATTGTGGCAGCCGATTACAATACCAGAAAATACTAAGTGCAGTGACCTGCTCGCTTTCTCATGGTATTTGTTAAGTAATGAAGTGAAATGATGTCTGCCGTGCGTTTGAGCACAGCTTGTTTGTGGAGGAGCGACGGACGCTTGAATTGTGAACAGCTGAAGGGGCTGGCGAAGTATTACGCAGAAGAATGCGCTGTTGGGATTGCTGACCGTTGCTCCATCACGTTTCGTGATGGGTTACGGCGATCTTATGCTCAGAACCAAGCAACCTTGGCGGGGTCGCCGGGCCCTCTTGAGGGATAATGTCTTTGAACGTTACGACTGCAACTGCTGCCAACAAAAGAATGTTACTGCTAATATGACGCAAGAGTGTGGACGTTTACTGCAGCTGGTTCTTCATGTGGAGAAATGTAACGACCAGTACAAGCTCCATTGGAGAAGAGTGTGCAGAATCGAAAGCGATCATGAAGCAAATGATTTCCGAATCCTGTAGTTGTGCTTGCCATTATGACGAGGTCTACTGTCTTTGACAAACATTGTTTTTATGCTGACAGGCCCCAGCTGAAACGTACAAGCAAGTTTACGGGCACTACAAGACGTGCGTGGCGAAAAACAACACACCCAGTTGCCCAATGTGCAAGATTAGACTTTTGCCCGTTCTACCTGTTCCCAATAGCTCATATTTTCGCCCTATCCGCAGATAGGGAAATCGTCTATTGCGCCTTCTGTCAACACGATTGCAGCTGGCATGGTCGTAGCTTCCTCTCCATCTGGGTTCTTGAACAAGTGTGGAAGTAACGCTGTGTCACCAACGCACGCTCACCTTTAAAGAAGCCACGCGCTGACTCGACTTGTCGAGGAAAGTCGACGATAGCGGAGATAGCGACACCAATGTTTCTGTATCGAACTGGTCGGCCAAGAACTTGCCAAGCTGGCGTTGCGGACATTCGCGAAGAAGCTGATGTTCTTACGCACACAAAATATTGAGGTGAGCTCAGAACGGCGAATCATGATGAGGGCAGTGTGCGGCGGCGAGTGCGGATGGCAGAGAAGCTGCCATGCCAAAAAGAAGGATGGGTGGAAAAATAATTTATTCAATTCGGAAAAGCTACGTACCCAAATGGTGAGGCTTGGTCGAAGATAAGGCGCTGAACGTGGAAATTAGATTAGCAAATGATGTCGTACGCATTGCATGAGTACCTGGAGCAGGTGATGGAAGAAATGGTTGATATGCGAAGCAGCGTGGGTTCCGCAAGCAAAGTTGTTTGCGGCATTGCAACAGGTATCGATGTTGGAGCTATTGTGGACGGCCGACTAGGGAATCGTATCAAGCTTTTGGCTGCAGAGAATTTACGCGTTAGCTGTGAAGATTCCTTTTCAAAATCGTGACAGCAAGATATCAAGTTACGGTTGCAATTGTTGAGACGCCATACGTGAGGAACAAATTGAGAAAGAATGTGCTGGCGTCTTCCAACAATTGCGCAAAAAGGTGGACCGTAGCAAACTGAACCAGGACGAACAGGATGAAGCGGAAATGGACGTTGAGGAGCTGACTGTGAAGGACCTGAAAGAGCGTCTTTTGCAAAAAGATAAGGAGAGAGCGGTGAAGGTAGTTGGTCGTGTTAACGAAAGTATTTTGATGAAGTACGCTCTACGAGTGGCCGACAATCAAGTGACCCCAGAGGACGCCAACTACTAGTTGTTGGATCAAAAGCCGTATATCCGCTCAAATCTGTTTGTACGCGCCGAGGCCCGCGCGCTTCGTAACGAAATTCCTCCTCTAAGCTGCGAGGCCCGTGGATAAAATTTGTATCACTGGCACAATCGCTAAAGAGCGCTAACTTAAAAGGACCTCCGATAGTTTGTTTTCTGCAGCGGATGGTCTATTATTGCTGGTTGGCTATTCAAAGTGCGAGTGAATTTGCTCTTCACCCTGTTTGGCAGCCTCTGGGATATCGATAGTGCGGAAGCAACGTGTTGAGTCAAAGGAATCAAATAGTGAATACCATACATACATTTCGCGCAGTCTAACAAATGTTATCTGAATAGCAAGAAAGTCGGCTACATATATATATTGTCCATCCTTGCGTCGCTCTATGAAGCGTGTACGTTGCTTAACACTCTAAGGCTTAAGTTAAGGCCATGACGGCTGCAAATTTCCACAGAGGTCATGGTCATTTCACACCTTTGTATATTCCTTCTCCCAATACTTGCTAGCTTTCGTAAAAGCAACGTTTATCTTGCGTGATGATGGGTACTCTGAATCGAACAACTCACCAGCATTGGACACTTTGGACATGTTTGGTGCCTCTCGGCATTGGCGTTCAGACCTCATAGCTTCGTGATGGCTTCATTGTGGGCCCCATCAATTCCTGCAAATCATTGATCAGCCACGGCTGCTAGCTCTTCATCACTATGTCATTAACCAAGAAGGCATAGAGCTTCACTACGGAGAACAAATTGGTTGCACCAAACCATTAGTGTATGAGTCATCTTTTGACTGAAACGGGAACTCTTCAGCTTCTAGCGCGACGAGTTCAGCTTGACTTTTTGTTCCTTGGGCAGTGAGGAAAACCCTAAAATATCCTCTATCATATTTCTTTCGGCATACCTCAATCCGCGACGGCCTCGAGAGAGTCTAGAGCAAGCGATAGTTTTCTTGCTAGGTCCACTGCCGATTTTTCTCCTTCATGCCATTTCAGTCTTTGTACTTTGAATGAATGAATTGAGTTTATCCATCCATAAGAAAGAACAGTTAATACTCAGTCATGATATTAGGATAACACAAAAGGAATTTAATCGTGTTCATTAATCTTTGTTAATGGGTTGCCTAATTCCTACATTTCTTTCGTGCATCATCCACATTGTTGTGGTTTCCTTGCTAGGCTTATATGACCCTATTTCTTTTTTTTTACTTGGAAAAGGCCACAACAGTTTCTTGATACTACCTGTAATTCCATTTAGATCGTCCTTTACTTTACCGGCTGCAGCTACTACTTTTTCACCAACTGCCTTCATTTCTTCCTCAAGCTCTTTTAATGATTTTTTTGGAACCCCCGACCTCTCTTCAACCTCCCCTTCCTTCTTAGACAACCCTTGACGAAGAAACCTCTGACCATCGTAAGTGTTCGACTGGACAGTATCAACTGTCTCAACTGCCAACAAGTCCGTGTGACTTGCAGTCGAGACAATTGCGTCATTTGTGATGAGAGTGGCCCCAACGAGCAGCAGGATTTGGTAAACTTTCATTGGCGACGTTACTTGATAAAATTGAGTAGTAGGAAACACAAAGAGAATTGTAGAATGATAAGCCAACAATTTTGATCAGACTGAAAGGTAAGATTTAACCGATGACGATTTCTACTAACAAACCATCGCGGGGATGTGTTCATCTTAATTATCGTGTGCACCTATTACCGGCGTAGATAGAGGCGGTCATGATACGATGCTGAAGCAGATTCACTACGACAAATATTTGGACCGCTTTGATCTGAGTACGTCTGCCCAGATTGTAAGACGGTATTTACGTATTTATCGGTAAAGGAACATACATGAATGCCAGTAGTAGACCGTATCGTGCATGTAATATGTTTTCACAATAAAGAGAGGCCCGCCTCTTGCACCAGCAGGGGTAGTGGTGAAAAAAGCGTACCTGTACTATCTAAATCAAACAGAGAGGCGGTATGATACTCAACGCTCTGCTCTTCAATTAAATTGGTTTCTGATCTGGCAAAAGAAACATTCGGATGTGAGCAATGAAACTGAAATGCGCTTAGAGTAGCTTGGAAATTTAGAGAAACTGCTCGACACCAACCATAACGATTACGGTACGGTTCTGTCAACAAATGTGACGCACTGACGCACCCAAAGCAGTCTGATTCCCTCAGCTTGCAGACACGCTAGTAGTGGCCGTTATTTGCTATCGATACAAGTGTACACCACTTTGTCTTGTCTCATTTGTCCTCCTTTTTATATTGTTTACAACTGTGATAATTTGGACATGTTAAGTCCCCTCAGCAATATTCTACTGCATAATGTTGGATTAATTGCCCTCTAGGTTTAAGGAAATTAATCTCCAATATACATCACAGATAAATCATGTGTTCATCTTAATTATCGTGTGCACCTATTACCGGCGTAGATAGAGGCGGTCATGATACGATGCTGAAGCAGATTCACTACGACAAATATTTGGACCGCTTTGATCTGAGTACGTCTGCCCAGATTGTAAGACGGTATTTACGTATTTATCGGTAAAGGAACATACATGAATGCCAGTAGTAGACCGTATCGTGCATGTAATATGTTTTCACAATAAAGAGAGGCCCGCCTCTTGCACCAGCAGGGGTAGTGGTGAAAAAAGCGTACCTGTACTATCTAAATCAAACAGAGAGGCGGTATGATACTCAACGCTCTGCTCTTCAATTAAATTGGTTTCTGATCTGGCAAAAGAAACATTCGGATGTGAGCAATGAAACTGAAATGCGCTTAGAGTAGCTTGGAAATTTAGAGAAACTGCTCGACACCAACCATAACGATTACGGTACGGTTCTGTCAACAAATGTGACGCACTGACGCACCCAAAGCAGTCTGATTCCCTCAGCTTGCAGACACGCTAGTAGTGGCCGTTATTTGCTATCGATACAAGTGTACACCACTTTGTCTTGTCTCATTTGTCCTCCTTTTTATATTGTTTACAACTGTGATAATTTGGACATGTTAAGTCCCCTCAGCAATATTCTACTGCATAATGTTGGATTAATTGCCCTCTAGGTTTAAGGAAATTAATCTCCAATATACATCACAGATAAATCATGTGTTCATCTTAATTATCGTGTGCACCTATTACCGGCGTAGATAGAGGCGGTCATGATACGATGCTGAAGCAGATTCACTACGACAAATATTTGGACCGCTTTGATCTGAGTACGTCTGCCCAGATTGTAAGACGGTATTTACGTATTTATCGGTAAAGGAACATACATGAATGCCAGTAGTAGACCGTATCGTGCATGTAATATGTTTTCACAATAAAGAGAGGCCCGCCTCTTGCACCAGCAGGGGTAGTGGTGAAAAAAGCGTACCTGTACTATCTAAATCAAACAGAGAGGCGGTATGATACTCAACGCTCTGCTCTTCAATTAAATTGGTTTCTGATCTGGCAAAAGAAACATTCGGATGTGAGCAATGAAACTGAAATGCGCTTAGAGTAGCTTGGAAATTTAGAGAAACTGCTCGACACCAACCATAACGATTACGGTACGGTTCTGTCAACAAATGTGACGCACTGACGCACCCAAAGCAGTCTGATTCCCTCAGCTTGCAGACACGCTAGTAGTGGCCGTTATTTGCTATCGATACAAGTGTACACCACTTTGTCTTGTCTCATTTGTCCTCCTTTTTATATTGTTTACAACTGTGATAATTTGGACATGTTAAGTCCCCTCAGCAATATTCTACTGCATAATGTTGGATTAATTGCCCTCTAGGTTTAAGGAAATTAATCTCCAATATACATCACAGATAAATCATGTGTTCATCTTAATTATCGTGTGCACCTATTACCGGCGTAGATAGAGGCGGTCATGATACGATGCTGAAGCAGATTCACTACGACAAATATTTGGACCGCTTTGATCTGAGTACGTCTGCCCAGATTGTAAGACGGTATTTACGTATTTATCGGTAAAGGAACATACATGAATGCCAGTAGTAGACCGTATCGTGCATGTAATATGTTTTCACAATAAAGAGAGGCCCGCCTCTTGCACCAGCAGGGGTAGTGGTGAAAAAAGCGTACCTGTACTATCTAAATCAAACAGAGAGGCGGTATGATACTCAACGCTCTGCTCTTCAATTAAATTGGTTTCTGATCTGGCAAAAGAAACATTCGGATGTGAGCAATGAAACTGAAATGCGCTTAGAGTAGCTTGGAAATTTAGAGAAACTGCTCGACACCAACCATAACGATTACGGTACGGTTCTGTCAACAAATGTGACGCACTGACGCACCCAAAGCAGTCTGATTCCCTCAGCTTGCAGACACGCTAGTAGTGGCCGTTATTTGCTATCGATACAAGTGTACACCACTTTGTCTTGTCTCATTTGTCCTCCTTTTTATATTGTTTACAACTGTGATAATTTGGACATGTTAAGTCCCCTCAGCAATATTCTACTGCATAATGTTGGATTAATTGCCCTCTAGGTTTAAGGAAATTAATCTCCAATATACATCACAGATAAATCGGATGTGTAAAGCACGTTAAGAAATACAGTATGCTATTTACCGATATAAAATACGTAAATACCGTCTTACAGTTTCGGCAGACGTATTCAGCTCAGGCGGGCCAAAATGTTTGTCGTGGGTTACACGAAGGTGTGTATTTTACATACACACCTGCCACACCAATGTGGTGTGGCTGTAGCTTGGGTACAAAAGTAGGTGATGTGACCGTACCTGAAGTACGAAGGGTCGCATCGTGGCAGAGAGCCACATAGCCACTATGCTTTAAATAAGTATAGTGACCACGCATGTATAACAATGACAGGCTATAGAGCCAGTAAATAGTGACTAGCACTAAGTATAGAGTAGGTGCTTCTATATTTAGTGTTAGAAGATAAATATAAATATAAATCAGTTTCAAACCTGCTCTGTAAACTTTACAGCTTGAGCGTTCGATTCCTTCTAAGGAATCAGTA